TTTTTTTCTCCTTCCTTCCTTCCTTCTTTTTTTTCTCCTTCCTTCCTTCCTTCTTTTTTTTCTCCTTTCTTTCTTTCTTTCTTTCTTGACTCATTCATGGTACACTTGCTTTCAAAGGTGAGTGCTCATGCTGTAGGTCAGTATGACACAGGAGTGAGTCTACAACACAGACTGGGGAGAAAATCATGGCAGCCACAGCAATTACCAGTCTTTGAGTCTGCAGAGTGAAGAAGAGCAAAAGACACTTGCCTTTATAAGTGTGGTCTGAGCTGTGGGATGAGGAGCATGGCTGACAAGGAAAGAAACTGGGAGAGATAAGAGTCAGATGGAAAGCACTGATCCCCATGCTATTGCAAGCACAGAAGAGGCTGGAGTTTAGGCAGACATGTACCACTCCTCTTCCTCTAGCACATGGGCTGAGGCACTCAGAATGAGGCAACCAGATTGGTGTACAAGCAGAGATGGTGAGAGGGCTGGTTAGCACCCCTAACAGACTTTCACTCCCACCCATGAATACATAACAAAGCCATTTTGAGAGGTAAGTCTGCTTTGAAGTAGACAACCCTCCATTCACATGGATGACTAGGCAAGGAGGAGGTGGAGCTCATTATACAGACTCCCCTAACAAATTTGGACAATTTGGGTCAGACCTAAGAATAAATAAGCAACAGAATATCCATGTCTCACAAAATTTCTCATAAAGAGTTTCTAAATTCACAACTGCAGGGGAAAAAAACCCAACTCTATTTCAAAAACCTCAGCAAAAGGAAAGCCAAATATATTGCATTAACTACTTGAAATTAACTGTTCCTAATAGATTTCCAATTTTGTGTTTTGCCAGAGTCCTATATAATTTTTTGTAATGCCAATTAATTGGATCTTCTCTTGGTACCTTTTTTTTTTTCACTTCTATCTCCATTCAATTCCTTTCTCCTTTATCCATTGTATCTTCCTCTTTTTAATTTCTCTCTTCCCTCCACCCACTCTTTTCTTTCTCTTTTCCTTTTTCTTTTTTCTCTATTTTATTTTTTAATCCTTTCTTCCAATTGAATTTAGTATGCTATCATTAATGCTTAAATCTCACAGCTAATCTACATTATTCCTCATTCACATTCCTCTTTTATCAGCAAAATTGTAAGGACCACTAGAAATAACTATTATAGCAAATGTTGACATATTATTTGCTCTTAAATTACCACTACTACTGGTAATTACTTCAAAGTGTCACTGGTGGTTGAAATTAACACTTTATGCTGATCAGATGTGTTGAAGCTAAGATTACACACCCACTCTGGGACTTATTATATAGAAATAACTACTCACTAAATAACCCCCACATAAAAGAAGAAGAAGAAAGCATCTTAACAGATGCTAAAATCCAAGTCCTATGAAAACTATGAGGAAACAAGCTAATAAAAGTTTATAACTCCCCAATAACTGAATCCCTATCTATTGATGTGGATGAAAAGGTAGAAAAGGATTTAAAAATTGATGGTTAAAATAACCAATAAACTAAAAAAACCTTAAGGAATGAATTAAGGAACAAAATAGAGAAAGAAAAGGAGTGCTTCAATAAAGACAGATTCTGAGAAAGAACCAAACAGAAATTCTGGAAATGAAAGACTGAATAAATCAAATAAAACAATTTAGTTGAAAGCCTCACCATTAGATTATATCACACAGACAACAAAATTAGAAGCTTTTAAGAAAGTTGTATGTAAACATTTATTCAGCAATACAGAAAACACAAAAACTCGGAGAAGATTAAAGGACAAATTTAAGAATCATTGAAACCAAAGAGGTATCTGAGATACATGGGTAACCTTTTCAGGGAAATAATAACAGAAAAATTTCCAAATCTTGATAATGAGATGGACACCAAGATACAGAATGCATCCCAAACTCAAAGTAGACACTATCAAAAAATAACCTCTCCCCAACACTTTATAGTTTAAAGGCCTAATATACAGAATAAGGATAGAATTTAAAGCCTTCAAAAGGTAAACATCAGGTCATATTTGGAAATACAGCAATCAGAAGTAATTCTGATTTCCCAGCAGAAATTCTAAAATCCTGGGATGTTTGGAATGATATGATACTAAGCCCTGAAAGAAAATAACTGCTAACCAAATTTGCTATATCCTGCCAGCCTATTCTACAGCCTAAAAGAATAAATAAAATCCTTTCAATGTAAGTGTAAACTAAAAGAATACATAACCACTTTTGAAGTCGGCTTTGTTGGATATGAGAGTGCTATCCCTACATGTTTTCAGGCTCCCTTTACATGGAATAGAATTTTATATCTTTTGGTTATCTTTACCTGTATAAGTCTCTTGCAAACAACATATAGTTGTGTCTTAATTTTTAATACACTTTGCACGACAGGAAATGCTTGAAGAAACACTACACATAGAAGAAATTAAAAACAAACTCCAGAGCTCAAGAATGGACAAATATCATAAGAACCTAGCTAAGCAAATAAAAATAAAACTGCATTAGCATTAGAAATAAAAAGAAACTGGCAGGAATTAATAAATATCTCCCTACAATAAAACTGAATGTAAATGGTCTCAACTCTCTATGTCTCATTAAAAGACATAGATGGGCAAGGTAGATTAAAAAGGAAGACCCAACTGTATGTTGTTTCAAAGAAAGTCTTTATACAGGCAAAGATAGCCAAAGGATAGAAAATTATATTCCATATAAAAGGAGCCTGAAAACAAGCAGAAATAGCTATTCTCATATTCAACAAAGCAAACTTCAAGACAAAATTAATCAGAATAGACAAAGACAGTCACTTCACACTGGCACAGAGAACAATCCAACAAGAAGGTATAATAATAGCAAATATTTATGCCCCAAACATCAGTGCACCTGATTACATAAAATAAATACTACTTGACATAAAGACCCAAATAGACTCAATTTACTTCTCTCAATACACTTCTCTCACCAACAGTTATCCAGACATAGTTAGTAAAGACTCTTCAACCTAAATATTATAAATCAAATGGACCTATCAGACACCTTCAGAATATTTCATCCAGCAATATCCAAATTAACTTTCTTCTCAGATGCTCATGGAAACTTCAGCAAATAGATGATATTTTAGATCACAAGGCAAATCTTAGCAAATAACAAAAACAAAATAAAGAATGTAATCCCTTGCATCATATCAGATCATAATGGAATGAAATTAGAAATCAACAATGCGAAAAACTATAGAAACTTCATAAACACAGGGAGATTAAACAAGTACACTTTTGAACAATGAATGAATCAGATAAAATTAGGGGATAAATTTTAAAATTCCAAGAATCAAATAAGAATAGTAATATAACATTCTAGTATCTCCAGGATACTATTAAAGTGAGTTTTTAAAAGGAAAATTCATAGTTATAAATGTAAACACCAAAAAATAAAGAA